TGATTAACATATATAAAATTATAAATGCCATATCGTGATGATTAACATATATACGGCTGAAGAAGACATGTTACTGTCGAAATGGTATACAAATTCGGCATGGCTTTGGTGAGTGGCCATGTGGGTGTGCAGGAATGGTTGTGACTGGTTGGGTTCGAATATACCATCGGGCTGATAGCTCAGTTGGTAGAGCGATGGGCTTGTAATCCAGAGGTCGCCGGTTCGAATCCGACTCAGTCTCAACTTTTCCTGTTCACTAAAAAATACTTACCTACGGTGATTAATATATATATATATATATATATATATATATATATATATATATATATATATATATATATATATATATATATATATATATATATATATATATATATATATATATATACTTATATATATATATATATATATATATATATATATATATATATATATATATATATATATATATATATGTAACAAACAGAACGGCTACGTTTGAAAAAGTTTATTAAAAAAAGTATATTAGATACAAAAACTAAATTTTCGGCTGCATGCCACAGCCTTCTTCAGAGTGCCTAGCTTTACACAGAACATACTTATATACAATAAATTATGAATAAATTACTATTGTTGGGCGAAATCATGACTACCATTAAGGCCTTTCCGGTTGGTCAACAACATTCCTATCCAAAAGTTTTCACTCTTAAGTACTTCACTATGGTGTTGATCAATAAGCATAAATTTTAAGCTCGAATGATCCGCCTCATGCACATCAATAAAATGATTAGTTATACTGCATGCATGTCCGGCGCTTATGCTTAATGTGTGATTTGTAGTTAGCTAGTCTGGACTTAAAATTGGCAGTAGAGCCAACACCTTGCAAACCACAAAGCACACACCCAGCAAGATACACTACATTACTGGAAGTGCACGTCAAAGATTTTAAGATAAGAAATATCCTTCCAGTGGCAGCTGCAAGAAAAGAATTGCCAAAAATCAAAACGTTCTTACAACTATCACAGCGCTTGGCATCACATTTGTAGCAGCCTTCACCTTCCAGTTTATTGGACTTATATGGGTTAGATGGTGCTAATAACTCCTTCAAATTGGCATTACGCTTATACGAAACAAGAATGGCACTCTCCGGTAGAATTTTTTTAGCCTGTTCATCACTATCTAAAACAGAGCGATGTTTACGAAAAAAATTTCGAATATCAGGAGCGCTAGGATTAAACTTGGTAACAAAAACACAGGAATTAAGTCCAGACTAGCTAACTACAAATCACACATTAAGCATAAGCGCCGGACATGCAGTATAACTAATCATTTTATTGATGTGCATGAGGCGGATCATTCGAGCTTAAAATTTATGCTTATTGATCAACACCATAGTGAAGTACTTAAGAGTGAAACCTTTTGGATAGGAATGTTGTTGACCAACCGGAAAGGCCTTAATGGTAGTCATGATTTCGCCCAACAATAGTAATTTATTCATAATTTATTGTATATAAGTATGTTCTGTGTAAAGCTAGGCACTCTGAAGAAGGCTGTGGCATGCAGCCGAAAATTTAGTTTTTGTATCTAATATAACTTTTTTTAATAAACTTCTTCAAACGTAGCCGTTCTGTTTGTTACATATGAAGTCTTGTCGGCTGAGCAGAGTACTGGCATTTGTCACATATATATATATATATATATATATATATATATATATATATATATATATATATATATATATATATATATATATATATATATATATATACGAGTAGGTTTATGAATACGAAACGCAAAGAGTGCTCAATATCATAAAGATAGAGCAAATGTAGAATTTCGCTTACCTCAAAATTCCGCAACAGTCTGTTTCATCAGTAAAGAATCATCAGGCGGTATGACAAGTTTCGAAAAATAGGACTGCTTATATGTGTTTTGGCCGGAACGTGGGGGGGTATGGGTGAAACAAAGCATGCATTCATCTATTGTTTGCGTTGTTTACGCGGAAATGCCTAATCGAATTGTGGGAGTGTATTGTTTGCGTTGTTTACGCGAAATTTCTTCCTATGTCTGCACGTAGATATAATTTCCATTCTTTTATTGAGTAAACAGTTTTGGTTTTCTTTCAAAATACAAAATTTTTCTTCTAAACATAAATTACATCGTTTTGATCCTCCCGTATACGAAATAGCGCGTTTCAAAATTTGCCAATTGATATTAAAATCTTTCTTGCTATCTTTCAATGTCCAAATATATTTCGAAAGTTCAGTTTTGTTTGAGTGCTCTTTATGCTCGAAAGTATAGTTATGGTTAGCCGAACGCTCTTTAAATGTAGTTGATGTCATGCCAATATAATTCATGATCGTGTTAGGGTTGCTTGTTGTGACTGTTGCTTTGTATACTATGTCCTTAGTCATGCATTGTTTCTGAAGTGGGCATATTGCGTTTTTCGAACAACTGCAATTGACAGTGCCCTTGCCCTGTGCCTTGTTCTTCCTAGCTATATGTGCATTGTGCTTAGTGATTATAGACTTAACATTGCTCATGCAGCTATAACTTACTTTTACCGTATTTCTGTTAAAGATCTTATGCAGCTTGTGGTGCGAAGGAAAGTGCTTGTCGATAAGGTTAAGAAAATTACGCCCTATGTTAGTGCTGACATTCATGCTAAATGGTGGGTTGAACCAAATGATATTACGTTGCCTATTTCTGCGTGCTTGCTGTGGTGCGTGTTGAGTGTAGTTAAGATCATGATTAAAGTTGCTATGGTCAAGTGCGTTTTGGTATGCATGTGCAGATTCCATAAATGTTTGCTCATCTGATGAAAGCATTGCGATGCGCTTGTTAACTGATGTAGGAAGCTGCCTTATAATGCTAGGTGGATGGTTAGAGTACCTATTTATGTATAGCGGATCGTCATTGGGCTTTCTATAGGGCCTATATTTTCCGTTGTTAAGATTGAAAGTTACATCTAAAAAGTTTACTATGCGTAAATTTGATTCGGCGGTGATTTTTAGGTCAAACAACTCGAAAATTTTGTGGAGTTCTTTCCTTGTTTTGTCTGCTAAACGTGCCGATTTACTTTTTATAAGGGCCAAACCGTCGTCTCTATATATGCCGATGCTTTCTTTGCCAAACTTCTTACTTAGGTGATTTAGGATGAAAAGGCCAACTAATTCACATATTTCGGCGCCATCGTGGCTGCCCATGGTAACGTCAAACAAACCTTCACTATCTTTTTTTGTCCATGGTTTTCCGGTGTTGAAAAGCAGAGATTTTCTGGCGTGTTTTATGATCAAAATATCATTATCCGAAATGGTAGTTAAATTAGAAGCCCAAGATAAGGCTTGGTCCAAAAGCTTTTCCGAAATGGATGGGTAAAAATCAACGATGTCAAACGAAATAAAACTATGTCTTTCTTTGTCTTTTATATTTCCAAACCATTCAATTACTTGTTTTGTATTTCTCCACTGGTTCAAATTCAGTTTTTGTCTCAAATTGGAGTTAATTTTATCTAAAATAATTTTGCTCAATTTTCCTGATTCGCTTTTAGCGGGATTAATTAGCCGACATTTTGGATTGTTCTCGAAATTTTCTTTGTGGTCTTTTAAAGATATAAATGCTTCACGTTTTTTCATTTTTTCAATTCTGTCGCCGATTCCTAAATTGTTCGAAATGTTTTTTAATTCAGAGTCAATTTCGTCTATATATATATATATATATATATATATATATATATATATATATATATATATATATATATATATATATATATATATATATATATATATAGCTTAAGATTTATGTTTAAAAATTTTGTATTTTAATTGAAAGAAAACCAAAACTGTTTACTCAATAAAAGAATGGAAATTATATCTACGTGCAGACATAGGAAGAAATTTCGCGTAAACAACGCAAACAATACACTCCCACAATTCGATTAGGCATTTCCGCGTAAACAACGCAAACAATAGATGAATGCATGCTTTGTTCCACCCACACACCCCCACATTCCGGCCAAAACACATATAAGCAGTCCTATTTTCGAAACTTGTCATACCGCCTGATGATTCTTTACTGATGAAACAGACTGTTGCGGAATTTTGAGGTAAGCGATATTATATATATATATATATATATATATATATATATATATATATATATATATATATATATATATATATATATATATATATATATATATATATATATATTGTTACGAGCCGGTCCTTACTATTTTATTTGGCAGCGCTTTTGGTTCTGTTCGCTCGCAACAAAGATTGTGAAACCAATTACTTTCAATGATATATTTATTTCTTACTTATACATTACTCAAATCTCAATAATTAGCGTCTCTATAACTTTTACTTATATAATATAATTCTTAATAATAATGTACTGTTCAAACTTATCTTTTTTCACGACTGAGCACAACTCTTCAATTCCTGACAATTCTTTATCTTTAATATATCTTCGCCTTCGTATAATCCTTTTAAATCTTTCTTTATTAATTTGTAATTTCTATATATCTTCACGGCGATGTTATTCAGGCTTTCGCCTTATGAATAATGCATGAATTGTCTAGTTGTGCTCAGGCTTTTATACGCTCTGCTATAGGGGAAGAAACTACAAAACTACGACTCATTTCCCCCACGCAATACAGTTCGTTGAAGCAAGTCTCAGTAACCACAAATCGGCCAACGCCAAACCGAGTCATGTCCGCTACGTTAGTTGTGGGACATCTTAATCTTTAAAACTATTTGCTTACTCATGCATGTAAGCTATTCGGTTAATAATATGAATATAAAGTATAAGCTATATAGTATAATATAATAGTATGTAAAATTACATGATATAAGCATTATCATGTAACACCCTCCCCCTTGAAAGAAAGAAAGTTTCTTAACTTTCTTTTCAATGAAGCGTGTTTGTCAAGTGTTCATGGCCTTGAAAGACAATCAGCGATCAAGTTGTCTTGTCCTTTTATGTGTTGTATGTGCATGTTGTATTCTGATAATATCAAGCTCCATCGCAACAAACGTTGATTCTTGTCCTTCATTCGGTGGATGAAAACCAGTGGATTGTGATCACTGAATACTTCGATAGGAACTCCGGCTGAAGAAACATACACGTCAAAATGTTGAAGGGCGAGGATAAGGGCAAGACATTCTTTTTCAACTGTGGAATAATTGCGTTGATGGTGGTTAAACTTGCGGGAAAAATAAGCTACCGGATGGTCGATTCCATCGTCGTCCTCTTGTAATAATACTGCTCCGGCAGCGATGTCACTTGCATCTACAGCTAGTTTAAAGGG